ATTGAAACATGGTATGTTGGTCTATCCACTAATAACGCATTGGCTGACATACATTCTAAGATCACGCATATGCACAATACATGTATTGTGCGATTCATAAAACGATCGAATATTTCATAATATCAATGCTTTCCACCCACAATATTATACAACAAACATGGACATCTCTCTTTGTATTTAAATCTGTCAATATTTACGGCGGCGTGTAACGTAACCATGTGTTAAAATTAAATAAGCTGTCTACACATTGAAAACGTTCTACATGTATATTTAATAGCCCAGCCTCCCTACATTGTAAGTACTCAGACGTTGCTGCAGCTTGTAACAGGTAGTAATTTGACTCTCCCGCTCTACAAAACCAGTGCATTGTAAGTTGGACTTTTATTTGTGATAACAAAATATTATTTGATTGAATTTAACATCGAAATTTAAACGACTATTTATCTACGAATTCAAAAATCTTAACATTCCAGACGTATTTGTCTTGAAGGATTCATTTCGAACCCAAACAATTAAGAAATATTTGGACCCCACATTCCATCACCCATGGAAAGATTTCTTTACACATAGACTACAATCCGTAGGCGGCTCATTTCTATTTAACTGTGACTTCAGCATCGAATCTTTTCCTATAAATTTATCTAATTTTTACAAAGAAGCTTTTACGGCATGGAGCAAACTTCTACACCTGACTGGAAATAACCTATCTAGATTTATAATGTGGGAACATTCGCAACATATATATTGGAAATAAGTCAGTATATTACTCTAATATTAGCAACGGTGGCATCACATATATCAACGATCTTGTTACAAACGGCACGATAAAAACAGCAGCTGTTTTTCGGGAAGCTTATAATTTATCAAGTGTTGATTACTTTCGAGTCCTGGGAATTATTCATTCTACCCCCCCCCCGGTTGAATTACAATCATACACGTACAGCCAATAGGAAACATTCACTGTGTATTTATATTGACAAAAAGTTTGTTCCAATCAGTGTTGTTTCTAAGTATACAATTAAACGACAATTGGGAAAATCGAAATACCAAAGCCCGACAAGTGCTAACAAATTTATGAATGATTTTGATATTCCCTTTTCGAGTTTGAGAAAGTTGTATATTTTACCATTTTATGTCACGATAGACACTAAATCACGAGAGTTTCAATTTAAAATTATACACAATATATTGTACTTTAAATAAATTCAGATGTCTTTAAATTTAATTCTCCAACGGTTGACAACCCTTTATGTGCTTTTTGTAAAGCTGAAAATGAAACAATGTATCATTTATTTTATCATTGTATCTTCTCCCGTAATTTCTGGACAACATTCTCGAGGTGGTTCCCAGAATGCATTCCAACAGATGGTATATCGAGTGTTCAGGATATAATACTTGGTTCAACGGAATTGTCCCAACTCACAAATCATCTTCTCATTCTTGGTAAAATACACTTGTATAAATGCAAACTGCAACTGATCAATCCAAATTTTAATATTTACATAACCATGGTCAAAGATATAAAAGAGATTGATATATTGATTGATCTGAAGACAGATACTAACATTGTTTGTATATATAGTACAAGATGAGTTTCGTGGTATTAATCAGTTTGCTATTTTCCATATGCTCCGCCTCGTTGACGGAGCACCAAGTTAAGCGTACGTACTCTCTGTGTTTCCCTATTAAAATAAATGATACTGATTCAATTAGTTGCCTTTGTTGTCTTCGACGGCAATTTAACAATATAGCTAGCGAATGAAATATTATTCAACATACACGTATCTAATCTGGCGAAACTTAATTACAAGTAAGCCTTTGTGATATGTATGCCTGATATTAATGTTTAATCTACCTAGACGGTCGTCATCACTCACTGTTTGAAAATGTGACAATACATTACATTACGTTTTTTTTATAACGGTTTAGAAGCAATGTAACACTAGTAATACTAAGAGTAAAATATCGGGTGGGAATATCTAAATCTCGTCAACAAAGAACATGAAATAAACACATTGTGCACTATTACACGTTATTCCAAAACCAATGGACTTCACATTGATTTTCGCGGGAACAGTCCTCAGCAGTATATTCTCTGATACAACGTTAACGAAAGCATACAATGACCTCAGAGACGTATGCATCAAATAAATACTATATTGAGACAATTTAGTGTTGTCAACCGCAAAATTGAAATATGACGTCCTCCACTCTTCGACGTCGTTTGGGAGAATCCTTGAGACTGTGAGATTTGAGTTTCTAAGACGTATCCAGTCTAATACGAAAAATGTAATCTGCATTGTAATCTTTGAGACTGTATGAGATTTGAGTGGCTAAGAAGAATCCAGTGTAGTACGAAAACATAATCTGGATTGTAATCCTTGAAACTGTATGAGATTTGAGTGACTAAAAAGGATCCAGTGTAATACGAAAAATATAATCAGGATTATATTTATTACGTATTAAGCTTACGATTAATAAACAATCCGTGTCGCGATAAAAGAAGGGGGTCACATGTCTATATGTATTATAGTCATATTAATTTAAGTATACTTGTTGTATTGTCGGCATTGCCTTTACATGTAATTGGTATACTGGTGTTGTATGCCCCAAGGGAGAAGTATGTGTTGAAAAATATAACTACGTAGGATATTGCTATCCCGGTGAGTACTATGTATTTATTTCTTTGATTTGCATTCAGTCAGATGGTGTGCGCGGTAGAACGTGAACCCAACACCATGCAGTAAAACGACACTGCTATTCATTGGCTTTTGGCTTGCATCAAAATAGTTTACCAGTTAGTTAAATAAGTTACATTATTACAATTCTAGTTATTTGCAGTTGTTGTAACAAATATGTAAGTAAACATATCTATAAGTGTACCTACAACATCGGCTTTAATCAGGACTCGTGTAGTAATTCTCATGAAAATGTAAGTTGTGAGCAAGTACGAAGAGCTCGTAAAGCGTTCTGTCCCATGGACATAAATTATCGCTATCAGTACATCATGTTACAATTAATGAATATGTTAAGTGTTGGAACCATTCATATATTTATGGTGTCGAGGCTGAATTGGTAACATGGTTCACTCAATTCGTAATTTGACGCTAATAACCACTTGCCGCGAGTAAAACAGAAACAGCCTTCTGATGCTGTACTTTTACAGACACACATATATAAAACTAGAACTTTCAAATACTATTTTCTGATTACAGAGTCTTATGTAGAAGCACAAAATGAGGAACAAGGTAAGAATTTTGTCATTGTTGCGTAATTTAGGTTCATAATATATATGTTTGGAACTTATAATTTTCTCCTTATCGTGGCACGATTTTGACCACTTATTTCCGAAATTATTATTTTTTCTAGGATATGGTTAGGTTAATATTATTTACAGACAAAATGAGTTCATATAAGTCATTGTTCTTCACAGTTATAAACTAATTAATTCCTTAATATGGTTTCCCATATGTCGAAATTTACCGTCTTTCTGCCGAGTACATCATTTACTAGTTTTAGTTGTTTTTTTTTTTACAGAGACGAATTTTGAGAAGATCAAACGATTAAAATTGACATTCTGGAAAATAATGAAGTCCGGGAATTGAAATCATTTCTAAAGGATTTATCATAATTCTTAGCCGCACAGTTTTAATTGATTTATATTTCAATAATGTCGTTATCGTAACATTATGTTAATGATGTTTGAATATCACCTGCAGTCGCATTATTAAATGATGTGATCATTGTAACCCAAATTATAGTTTCATTATGTAATAACATGTACCAATTCACATATTCACTCACGGCTTGCATAGTAGGAAATACACTTACGTTAAACAACCTCGAATAGTAAGTGATGTCTTATTCTCTATTCAAAAGATGGAAATCTAAAAGATGCACGCAATGTTGATATATTTTTTTTAAATAACGTATTGGCGACGAAATTGAAGTATGGTTTATCTGAAGCTAAACATTGGTGCCTGCACTAACGTTTCAAGACCACATATAAACACACTAAACTACATAATTTGGTGAAAGTCCCTCGTCTTTGCCTTGGATCCTAAACAAATTATCATGGAATACAAATGAAATACAAATGCCCGGAGGGGGGGGGGGATTGGTACGAGAGGGCGCCCTCCAACTTGGATGAAATGTTTAGAAGTCCATCCACAGCCAGCGATTTCTTTACAGAATAATCCTCAACGAGTTCTACAAATGATTTATTGCATTCTAAAATATTTCAAATTGCACACACACACAGTGATTTCTCGAAATGCATACTACTAAGAAGTCACTTTGAAGAATAGTTTGCTCGTTTACACCCCATTCATGATAGTCTCAATGGACACGATTATTCGGAAAGGTAAAACGATGTTCTATGACCAGGTTTCACGACTTGACGATCACATTTTTGGCGTTTCGCAAACTACTACTCAAAAGAAATATGGATTACTTCAGTATTACAACATGGGATTCATCCTGAGTAAATAACAGAATAGAAAAGATGCGAACCATGTTCCGTACGATTGCCCTCCATGCACTCTGAAATAAATTAATGCAAATTTCCTCGTAAAAGCAGGATCCAAACTAATGTACCAATCAATGATTTTTTGCAATATATTTTTTACATGCATATTTTGAAAAATGTCATTAATGCAAAGTAAAAATACCCTGAGCCTATACTCGGGATGTCCTCAACTTGTTAAATGTCTAAAATCAGAAGGATGGGCTTATACTCGGGGAGGGGCTTATGATCGGGAAGTACAATAATTAGATAACTTGTTACTGGTAACAGTTATTGAAAAATTATGCGCAAAATTATTACGAGTAATAGTACTAGAGTGAAATATCAATGAGCCATGTTAGCCGTCAGAAAGCTATTGGCACAGTTTTACTGAAAAGATGAGTTTTTCATTAATTTATGCAAATGAGATATGTTTTTTTTCCAGCCAATCTCATGCCACTCCCCACTAACAAATGCACAGGACAAAAATAAAATATTTAACTTAAAAAAATACTCATTTTATTATCAAATAATTGATATAAGAGTATGAATGTTTGTCCATTGTTATCCATTCCCCAAAATTTCATCTTTAATAAATCATTTTGAGTTGAAAGATTGAAATATATATACCAACTTTGGAACATACATTTACATAATGCAGTTCAACCTGGGTTCAATGTTAAGTTGCTTAAAAGATTGTGCCTTGTTTATTGACAAATCAAACTCGGCATAGTATATACACCTCAACTCAACTGCAAACCTGTGTATAGTGAACACCAGAAGGTTTTTATTATAAAGTGCTCATAGTTTGGACTAATTTGTTTTAGCATTTTGGGCAATACATTATTTGACTTTAATTAACTGTTTTATAAACAGAATGTTAATTATTAAACAAAGGCAAATCTGCACAAATACTGCTAAAAGAGTAGGCACATACAAGACAGGTTGTCTTTATACACAGGTTGCTCATGTTATGCCTTGGGACTGCCTAATAGTGGTCACTATAGACAGGTGGTCTTTATGTAGAGGTTGTCACAGACACACAGGTTTGACTGTAATGCAAGAAGCTGAATGCTGCCTATCAGGTGTGATGTAAAACATGTGTGTGGTGCTCAATGCAATAATAGTGGATACAAAATCTCAGTTTTCACAAAGGGGTATTATCTAATACCATTATGTTTCAACATTCATCCACATAATGCAGGTCTCATATGGAATAGTATGAATACGGTCAAAGTCAGCATAAATACACTCATAATGAGTGGACTTTGGTGGCAGTCTTTAAGGCAGTTTGAGCCAAATTAAAATTCAAGATAACCTCTGATTGTATATAAAAATGAACACTTATCACTTTTGGAAACTCCCCAAATTACGTCAATTTCTTGAAATGTTTTCACAAATACCAGAATTCATATCAATAATAATACACAACTTTTCATTCATGTCATTTTTTTGTGATACAAAGAAATAATAGGAACCAGTGGCAATTTTTACAATTTTCCCTAGATATTTCAGACACTAGTATCTCAAAATATTGTCTCTGATGACCTCACTTGTTTTATCCTTTCTCAGTGTCCTGATGGCATGAACACATAACAATTAAAGTATGACAAATATAACATTTGATCTTTCAATTCGAATTAGTCCTCTTTAAGTGGTTGGTAACAGTAAACCATTAATTATGGCACAACATATAAATCTGCATAGTCACTGCAAAGTATCATACCATATAATAAGGTAAAGAAAATATGACAAACTTTGCACGTTAAGTTATGTGTCACAGCTTGGTTCATTTGTAATATCAAAAAGACAAATGGTAAGTATGTCAGCCATTCAAATATGGCTTTAACTTACTTGGCTCGCAAACTTGCGCTTTTAGAGCAAAACTGCATATCAAAAAGCAATCGTCTTTTGTATCTATTTCTTTGCCAAAAAAACACATTTCAGCTGTGAAATATTTACATATTTGTTTTTCATTGCCGTTCTTCAATCTGAGAAACATTCCCTTTAATTTCCTGCATTTTGTAGTTAAATACATATTCAAAAGGTGTTTTAGATGAAACTAAAAAATTTCTCAACCCCAAATTTGTTTAGGAAAACACTATATATACAGATGATCTCCAAGAGCCACACAACCTGCCATTTTCTACAATACTGTTGTCCTATAAATTTACAAAAGGAAATCTGAAATTATATATTTATTTTTGTTAAACTGTTCGATTTTAAAAGAAAATAATTGAAAAAATTCCCCATTGGTAGTATAGTAAAACCCCCTGCCCAGAAAGTACCAGGATGTGTGACCTTTGCGAGTCATCTATAAGGCCCATTGTCGTACATTATTAGAATTTAAGATTGAAACCAGCTGACTTCGCTGCTTGACCTTGTGATGTAGTTGTCAGTCGGAATCCTTTGTCCATATTAGCGTCATCTTCTCCCTGAAAACCAAAACAGACATTTGCTCAAAATAAGGTGAAGGGTAAGCGTGACTAATGGGATAAACGATGAAATACAATTTGGAGTCAAGTGAGATGACCAGAAAGTAAAGACAAATAAAACTTAAGCTGAGTGCATTCTTAGCAAAACTGTATCTACAACTATTTCTGTGGACAAACCAATTTCACTTCAGACCTTATCATTGACACAATGAATAGCAATTCTTTTAGGAAACATTCTCAGTGTAGTGTTACTTACCAATTTAGCAAAATTGAGACCACCTTCAGGCGCTTTTGGACTTTCTCTTTTTGTATTCCTTGGCTGTTCACTTTTTGCTGGCCACGTTGGGAAATCAGACTCATTAATTGGGAGTGGAGATTCAGTAAAATAGTTATGTTTCAAGGCATCATCTGCTGTTATTCGTCTTGATGGATTGTAAGTCAGAAACCTGTCGAGTACAAATAATTATATTAACCTAATTTTACAAATTTGTATTTTACTCCAATTTCTGATAGTGCACTTAATGGATAACTTTTCCTTGGCTACAGGTCTTGATCAAAATTATGCAGCTTAGATCTGCAAAAAGTGAGAAAAGTTTACTTTCAAGGAGTTAATAATACAGTAACGTAATAATATGATTTAGAAATAATAGACAGTTTTAATGCTTAGGGAGTTCTTATGATGTTTTATACTTTTTGTCACCAAAATAAGACGAAAGAAAAACTTGTAATATTCTGAAAAAATAACTTTGATATATAATTTGGAATTCTTGATATTAAAAAAAAAAATTAAATTTATTATCTAATATTAAGGCATATTAATTATATCCCCCATAATCTTAAATTTAAACCATTGATAATTGTAATCAGTACTGTAAAATCTATTAGAAATCGCGGGTTATTTTAAAATAGTACAATGCAACAGAGGGGATTCGGTTTCTATTAGTGCATCTACACATATGAGAAATGATGAATTTTTGGTTCTCAATTATTCAAAAATAATGGGCACGACTTCTATTAGGGATGTGGCTTATAATACACATTTTACGATAATTGCTAATTGCCCCTTTTACATGTAGTTAGTCAAGTTTGAACACGAATAGGCAAGGCATTCAATGTTGTAGCTTCAGAACAGCATACGTAAAACAGTTTTAGCGCCATGTTAAATCTGATCTGAAAAACAAAATGATGCACATCAAGATTCACAATGTCTGATATGTACTAGGTCTTTACACGACTAAGATCCAGTTCCAAAATGGCAGAAATTGTTATTTTGAGAAATTGTCAGCACAAAAATGGCTGACATGTGGCCATCTCGAATGGGATTGCAAAATGAATGATTATGCATAGTAATAATATAGTAAATAGTAGCACCTTTTAGACTGACTTTACTTTACATGTATGCTTTGATTCTGTTGATGGATACAGCCCCAAGGTTTCCATACACAAAATTATTCATTTGTTTGAATATCTCCTTGACAACACAGTACATTAAGCGTGTAGTATTTATGACACTGCAGGTTTAAAAAACAGTATTTGGACACATGAGGGCGCTGTTGACAGTTTACACTGAACAAAGGAGAATATGTATTATCACAACCTACTTGTTCATGAGTTCAAAGCCCACATCGGTCAGATATGTCCCGAATCGACTTCTTAAATTATTGTAAGGATGCTCTGCAAACTGCACTTTTTTCACAGCTGGTAGTTCACTATAACCTGCCCATATCCTTTCACTTGGTGTGCCAAGTTCCTGTGCAAAGCAAAATTAGTAAATAATTAGTATATTGGTGGACCTATTAAATTGTTAACTACGGTCTGGCCCAATAAGAACTTGTTTAGTAAAAATGCAATATCGTTAGCCGTGGAAGATATAACATTTTAGTGGTTGGAAAAATTGAAGATACAGGAAAGTATAGAAACAAGACCACTTCACTCAACTATGACAGTTTAGTTCTGCGCTATTACTGGAGAAAAATAAAGATGCCAAGACAACAATACATAGCTAGGCAGACAAAATCAACACTATTTAGACGAGAGGCTGAATTGTTAGAGTCAAGGAAACATTGAGTTACAAAAATAACCATGCCTATATTTTAGCGAACAGGCCCACTTTTGCAAACTACGCTAAAATTGTAATTCAATGTTCAATTAACAGACCTGAATAACGGGCAATACACATTTTTCTTTTTGTTGAATGTCCACATTTAAATTAACAGTTAACCAAACTTTGAGTTACGGGCAACATACAAAGTTAAATAAAACTAAAAAATCTTTACGTGTAACTTTTCCGCAACAACAATTCAGCATCTCATCTAGACAGGTGTGCAAAATCAATAAACAGATTACGAGATACGCAGGTCCCAAAACTCTCTGAAAGTTTCATCCTGAAAAAAGGGGAAAATACAAAACAGAGCCCTTAAACATTCTAGTACATACCTTGAATATTCTGTTAAGTTGATCAATTTCAGATCTTCCCGGGAATAGTGGTTTCATCGTTAAAAATTCCGCAAATATACAACCAACAGACCACAAGTCAATGGGGGTGGAATATTCCTAGAAAAACAAAAACACAAGATAGAGTAATTACATTAGCTATTAACACAAATACACGTTTTGTAGCACGGTTAAAACTGACAAACTGCAGAAAAATGGTACAAATAACAAAATCAATACTAAATAAATAAATTTACCTTAGCTCCGAGTAAAAGTTCTGGTGCCCTATACCACAGGGTAACGACAATCGGAGTATACTGTTTAAGAGGTGACCCATATTCCCTAGCTAGACCAAAATCCCCAACCTTTAGTACTCCCTTATGACTCAATAATAAATTTGACGTCTTCAAATCACGATGAAGAATCCAGTTGTCGTGGAGATGCCGTGTTGCCCTTAGCAACTGACGTATAAGACATTTAACCTCACCTGCAAGTATAAATATATTGTGGGAGGAACAACAACTTGAAATAAAAATATAGAACTTCTGTCTGTCTACTTGAGTACATAATTCATATAACGTTCACTATTTGTACATTTAGAAGTTAAATTTGTGTTCAACTCTTTCCATGCTATATTACTTTTACCAAAAACAGTGCAACATTTTTCTATATTTTTCTATTATTTCCTTAGTTTTTGGACTAAATGTGCATATTTTTAGATGCTAACAGGTCTTGATCAAAATTTAGAAAAAAACAAAACATGGAAATATTTTTGAATGTATTTTTGTGAAATGGAACACGGATGAAAGGTATAAATTGATTAGCTAAAGATATTAGATTCCCGTGGGAATTCTCTCAAAAAACAAACACTGTAGAACCACCATGTGTACGTCCTGACAGTTTACTGTAAAATACTTTATTTTAGCTGGAATAAATTTTCGCTGAAAAGACATTTTTGGTGCTTTGTATGAAATTTATTTTCACTGATTTTTGACAAGTTGAATGTAAAATGCTGGATTTTATTTTCACTGAATCATTCCTTCAGCAAAAATAACAAATAATTAATTCCAAGTGAAAATAAAGTATTCTTACTACTGTATTGTTATGCATATTAACTGTAGCGCTGTGTTTGATATTTTCCTCCAAGATATGGATTTCTATTGAACTTGGGCAAATGCACAATGCAAAGGCAAATGGTTACATGAACTGGTTATCAAATCAACCATCCATCATGGTCATTCACTCACTTGAGCTCGCCCGCATGTATAGCTGAACTTTCACTACGCAATTGTGTTTCACTTCTGCATGCAGACAAACAATGACATTCATTTTTGACATTTAAAAAAAAAATGAAAATTACATATGCAAATCATGCAATGTAGCAAACAATCGTCTGTAATGTATGAATACATCAAATGTCTTCAAAAAGTGTGCTTACAACATACCAACAGTAAAAGGCTGCTTCATCGTCTCCATTAAACTTTTCAAATCGTGTTCCACATAGTCCATCACAATATAGATTTTGTCCATGTTAGAACCGACCACTATTTCCTACAAGAAATCAAGACATTTGTAAGTACTCTGCGCAACATGCACCTGTGATAAAGTATTAGCAGACACACGTTTATGTGAATGAGTTTTATTGCATATTAACACCCTATTGTGTTGAGTGACAATTCTGCTGATGTTTATAGTATTTGATGCATTTTCAAACCACAAGAGATTGAAATTGATTATGAAAATACTGCAATTTGAAACATTTATCATATTTTGTGGTTTTTGAGTTGTATATGAACCTGGACACTTGTACATGTACATGCATTACAAAGTTACAGTATAAAATACATACTCTGACCGTGACTATATTTGGATGCTGCGATTTCAAAAGTGTGTTGATTTCTCTCAGTGATGTAATCGGGAAACCCTCTTTCTCTTTCTCCATCTTGAGTCTTTTTAAAGCACAATTTCATCTG